CAGTCAGCCCAAGAAGGCCCGGACAAGCCAGAATTTTCCCCGAAAGATGGTGCTCTGCTGAAACTTGTCACCCTGAGTTCTGTCCCAGCTGGGTTGTTCCTAGCTGTCAGGGGGCTGCCTGTTTCCTGCACCACTCCCAGGACCCAGGTCTTGACCCCGCAGCCTACCCCGAACTCAGCTGGCTCTGGCTCACTTTCCTTCCTCCAAGGACCGGACTTCCCACCACAGGAATCAGCATCCCTACAGTTCTGGGGCCGCCCACCCAGACTGCTGGAAGCCAGAAAGCAGGAGCAAGGGTGACCGGAAATCTCACCCGCAGGCCTGAGGACCCTGCGGGATGAAAGGGAAGGCCCACTTCACCCCCAATGTCCTCCATTCCACCTCAGTGACTGCCATAGGCATTGCCCCTCGTGGGCTAGGCCTAAGCTGGGTCATGGGGCATAGGACCAGAAAGTTATTTCAGAAACTGCTGCCTCCACACTTCCCTAATTCATCACCCACCCCAGCTTCAGGTGCAGGCAACTCCTGCAGCTGTGTCCCCACTGGGCCTTTTTGCCCAGGCCAGGATCCCAGTTGTCCCTCTCCACCAATTTCCCCATCCCTCCTGGGGACCAGTTCCCTGAAGGTCATTGAGAGAAGAGGGTGAGGTCAGGCAGTGAAAGCCTGGGACCTTCCAGGCTCATCCTCTCTCCCAGGACCTGGAGTAAAGGACAAAGTGGCCTGGCCACACCCCCATCCTGCCTGGATTGCCTTGCCCATGCTTGGCCCAGCATCCTGGCTGCCTCCGCAAGGATTAAAGGCTCTCACACCCCCACCATGGCTGTGGGCCCCGACTTAACTTTTTCCTTTCATCCCTCGCCAGACTAAGATCCAGGCTGTCAGCAGTGCCCAGGGCAGGCAGAGGAGCTTTTCGAGGGCCTAGCTCTGGCCAGCCAGAAGCCTACAGGCAATTGTCCCCTTTTGCCACCTGGAAGGTCCCGCTTAGCAGAGGCCAGTCATGGGGATGCTGATTTGCTATGGTCTCCCAAAGTGACCTTGATCAAGTTCCTAGTGGCTCCTCCAGTGGAGAATCCTGGGATTCTAAGGAAAAGTTTCATACCTATTTCCCCAATTAAACTGTGGTCTGGGCAAGGACTCTGGCCCAGGATAGTGACCCCTTCCCCATTTGTCTCTGCCACAGCAGCAGTAACTATGATCTGGACTATGAGCTGTACAGGGAAGATGTTCCCTACAGGTGAGTGGGTCCTGCCTCCTTGGTCCTCTGGGCAAACAGGTGGGACTGGTTGGCCTGACTCCCTCTCTTTCCTATCTCATAGGATGTATAAATACCAGAGGATCCCTCCACTAGTCAACCACGTGCCTACCAAGATCAGGAGGACCCACATGGGCATGGGGGTCAAGAGAAGCTTTAGTCCCCACAAGGGCCCCAGGAAGAGCCACCTGCCCCCAGGGCAGATAAAGAGTGAGTGTAAGGGCACAGCCCTCATCTGCAAGGCTAGGAAGGTGAGGGCAGGCCCGGGAGCCCTGGCAGCACTACCTCCTGCCTCCTGGGCCTGGTGGTGCACCAATTCTGGGCCCTCTACCAACAGTGCAGGCTGAGGAGCTGCACTCCATTAGGGTGGAGCTGAGCCAGATCAAAGCCCAGGTGGACCGCCTATTGGAGAGCCTGGAGCACATGGACCAGCTTCCAGGTGAGACCACCCACACCCTTAGCAGTGTCCAGCTTTTCCCACTCCTGAAGCTGCTGGGGGCACCTGGTATCCTGCCTTGGGCTCTCCCTATCTGCATGGGTCCTCCCACCCCCACTCCCTCTGGCTATTCCTATGGCTATAGGATCCTGTGGCTTCTAGGTTGCCCTATGATTCCCCCCTCTTCACTCAGTAGATACCTGGGGCCAGAAGAATGTCCTAGCCCAAACCCATTTGTCCTCTCAAGCCCTAGACACTCTAGATCAGTGCTGGGCATCGAGGGGCCTTCTGGGGTCAGCTGGGGCCTCCAAACCCAGCCATTAACTGGTGACTCTCCCTGCACAGGGACAGAGGACAGTGAAGAAAACAAAGGCCCTGAAATTAAGGGTTCTTCATGCAGAACCACTGAACCCCAGCAGGAGCCCAGGGGCCAGAGGGCCCATCCAGAGGCAGGCAGCTCCAAGAAGAGCAGAGACCCAGAGGAGGCAGTGAGTGACCTGGTGCCTCGTCCTTCCTCCTCCTCGTGTTTAGGTCGTGAGGCCTCTCTGTGAGCAAGGGAGGGACTAGGGTTTGTGTGGGAGCCCACAGTGGTGGTTGGAGGCATATCATCCACCACAGGCATTGCCTAGAAAATGGCCTGTGCCCTGCTTATCCCCTCTCAACTCAGGCTTGGTTGCTCAGCTGGGCCAGTTCTGGGCTGAAATACTGTCTCCTCCTGGAAGGGGGTTAAGGGTGGGGTGCAGGTGGAGCTTTGAGTATTGTAGAGAGAACGTCACAGGTATCTCTCATGGTCCCAGACCCCTCACCTAAGAACCACCTGGTAAGCTTGTTAAAACCCAGATTTCTGCCCTTTTCCTGCCCCCGCCCCCACTTGCTGCCCCCATCTTTAGGCTATCTTCATGATACCATGCTCCCCAGGAACGCTGTGGAAAACATACCTTCCTGGATGGAGAATACCCACGCCTAGATCTAATAACCACCCTTTGTGCAGCATTAGAGAGCCCGAATGTTCCCTGTCCTATCATACCCTCCTCCCATATTGGTGGTCCCTGAAGTGCGCCAAGCCCCCACCACTATTTGAGTCACCTCGGCAAGACTGGGGCTGCTCAAGAGGCGAGAGTGCCAAGCCTCCCTTCTTCCACCTGCTCAGCTCTACTCTATGGCCTGCTGGGCTCCAGAGGGCCCTTTGCTGCTGCCCAGGCTGGGTTGCATCTGGGAGGACTGGGCTAGATGGACAGGATGCTTTCTTTTGTCTGGTGGTCCTCAGTTCCCAGGACTCAGGAAGAATCTGAGCTGCCAAAGCTGCCAAAAAAGGGAGGTGGGGGTGGGAGATTGAGATGTTAGCAGATGGCCCCCCCTTTCCTAGCCATACCATGCGTGTCAGCCCTCTGGGCCAGAGTCCTGCTTGTTTTTCCTACAGGTGAAGAATCATGCATCGGGCCAGGAGGGCAGCCAGTAGGTTAAAACCCCTCCAAAGCTCATCTGCTCCAGGAACCTTCCCAGATGGCTCCCCTTCCTTGCCTTGTATTTTTAAGGCCTCCTAGTGGCACCTTGTATTTTTAAGGCACCTAGAGGCACCCATTCTGGAGCGAGAACAAAGTGGAGGCAGAGCTCCACCAGACCGGCAGGGAAGCCTCCCCATAACAGTGTCTTCAGCTTTGGAGGTCATGCTTCCAGATGATAGTCCAGGAGCTGGCAAGCATGGGATGGGGAACTGCCCAGCACCACCTCACCATCCTCATGAAGCTGAGGCCATCTTGCAAGGGGCAGCTGGACAAGGCCCCCCTGGAAGCACCACCATCAGCCCTCTCTGACTGCAGGTACTGCTTCAGATGCTCCTCCCCTCAAAGCCTATCAGTCCTATCTGGATGTGGAGCATCCCACAGCAGTGGGCCCAGACAGCTTTCTCCAGCCACAGTGTACAGGAAATATCCTACAGTATCCCTTCATCTGAAACTGGGCTTTAAGGTCCTCAGCATGTGCCCCACATAACCCCTTCTGGTTCCAGATGCCCCATCCATCTTAACCCATCCTTCAGAATAGGGGTGTTATTTTATGTCCTGTTTTTATTTTATCTCTTGCTGGTGTGTCACTTTTATTTCAAATCTGCTCTGGACATGTCAGAAGGGGAAAAATAAATTTGTATTTTTCCCTGGTCACAGGTTCTTGGTGTGGTCTCTGAGTCTCATTCTAGTCCTTGGGCTGCTCTAGGCCAGCCCTTCCTAGAGAAGGTAAGCAGACCCAAGACACTCAATTTCAGAAGCTCATACCAAACCATGGCAGAGAGGGGACCAGGCTGCCTTCCCTTCCTCCAATCCAGACCAGAGCACAAACCTATGGGGCTCAGGAACCACCCACGGAAGATCCCACCCTTGTGGTCAGTCAGCCAGGCTGGCTTTGCCCTACGGAATGGCCAGGGTGCATCTGGATTCCCAACATCCAGCTTTCCTGGCAGTTCATATGCCCTTTCCCAGGACTGGGACTGGATAAGGGACACCAGCTAATGAAGCCAGTCCAGGCCCCCACTTCCTATCAGCAAGCAAGGAGGCCTCTGGCTGTGCTGCTCTGAACAAGGCCAAGGAAGGGTGGGAACTGGCTTCTACTGAGAGCCAAACTGTTTCCAGCTACCCAACGCTGAGCTGAGGTCTTGCCCAGCACCAAACCGGAGGCTTGGGGTGCACCCAGAATGCTCCTGGGGCCACACAACCCTCTCCATACTTATCAAACCTCAGCATTGGCCCTGACTTTGGTACCTGAGGGGTAGCTCCTCCTCTCCCAAAGCTTACATTTCCCTACATGAACCCCTGCACCTCCTTCGTTTCAGCCTGTCTCTTCTGCTCATGTTACACTAAGGGAAAGAACACATTTTAGAAAATGTTGTCCCTAGCCCTTGACACCAGGAGTCTAAGAACACACTACCCAGCTCAGGAGAGCCTTACTCCTTTAAATCCTGTACCAAGAAGAACCACAACAGAAGGCTTTTTCAGATATAAAAGAGGTTTTGTTTTAGCTTAGCTGTAAGTGAGAAGGCACAGTCCCCTTGTCCATTTTCTCAAAGGCAGCCCAGTTACACAGAAGGGAGTCACTGGCTGGCCTGCACAGGGTCCGTCCCTCACAAGACAGGAGGAGCTTCAGGTCCCACTTCCCACATAAGCCCAGCTGAAGTCCTTGCTTTCTAACTTGGGAGTCAGACAGCTTCAGGTCCCGTTTTCCAGGTAAGCCTGGCTGAAGTCCTTTCCAACTTGGGTCGGAACTAGGAGCTCGTTCAAGTAGAAAAGTATCTTTAACAGAACAGTTAGTAAAAAAAAAAAAAAAAAAAAAATTGTTCCAACATAGCTGTCCAGTGCATGTTCTGTGCGCGCCTCCCCGGATCCTCTCACGTGCTTTGAGTTCTCAGGGTGGCAGTTTGAAAGCCAACGGTGCGGGTCCTTTCAGGGGTCGGCGGCAGCAGCAGCAGCACGGGTCCTGGGCGTCCGTCATTCCTCTGGCTTCCGGTTCAGGGCGGGGTAGCAGCGCCCCTCCGGCGGGCAGCCCGCACCAGGCACTGCTGCAGTACAGGGTAGAGGCGCTGGCAGCCCTCGAGACCCATGCGCACGGCCTCGACCCAGCTCTCGGTCGGGCCTCCCTCCCCACTGCCCAGCAGCCCCGCCACCTGGTTTAGCACCGGCATGAGCGCCACAGTGAGGCCGGCGGCGGCGCGCTCCTCCTCGAGTCGCGTGGGGTCCAGCAGCCAGGTGGGCGCGGGCCCCGGCGCGCGGCTCAGGCCACAGCCCACCACCAAGTCGTACATCTCAATGCCCGCGTCCGCCAGCGCGAGTGCGGCGGCCGTGAGCGCGGCGGCCAGAGCGGAGCCACCATCCTCCAGCAGCAGAGCTGACACCTCGAGCTGCGCGCGCGGGTAGCGGCCCAGGCGCACGGCCGGCTCAAGAGCCTCCTGCAGG